GAATACCGTAACATTTCTAATAGAAACCCAGTACTCTATTAGCGACCCATGGTATAGTGAACTAAATTCAAATTTCATCATTAAAAATTACCCCTACTGTAAAAGTAACCCCGTGAGGTTACCATTGAAATACAGAATTTTAAGCATACAAAGTGATAGTGAAATCCACATTATACTTTACATTTTGATTTATATTTAGCCTCATGTGGTAGTCCCATTGTCAGTCATATGTTTCTTGCTGTACTTGCAGATGTTTTTTTTTTTCTCTTAAAATAAATAAAAGAGAATGAAGCTAAAAAAATGACCTAATTAGTCTTACAGAACTGCAGAATCGCTATATTGTGTTCTGGGGACTTTCGGCACATGAACATTGATCGGAGATGCCGCCAGTGGCGGAGGATGCAGGCAAAATTTTTGCTATATTTATAAAATCATTTCATCGCAACAAAAGCTGAATTGCAGAAACAATTTCATAAAACAAAGACAAAGAGACATTACCCATAAACAAAAAAAACAAAAAAACAAAAAAACAAAACAAAACAAACACTTATTATTATTATTATTATTATTATTATTATTATTATTATTATTATTATTATTATTATTATTATTATTATTATTATTATCATTATTATTATTATTATTATTATTATTATTATTATTATTATTATATACAAAAAAATTGATTAAACAAAATTCGAAATTCAAATGAATTATCTAATAGATTATTTCAGAAACACAAACTGGTTTTATACTATCACATGGAACGACCGATTTAACCTTCACAATACGTCCCTATATGCCAATTGTTACCAATTCTTTGTTCATGGCCTCATGAAGTTTTTGGTATCCGATTAATGGGATTTTTGAATACATACACCTGAATCGCCTGAACGGTCATATGAATCTTCTTTATGACAACATGTATTTTTACAGTCATATGAGCAACAACAACTTAAAAACCGTTTGAAGTTAAAGCGTAAAATCAGGATGATTAGCTGTCTCAATATTGTTCATCGTCTTCATTGCGGCATACCCACGAAAAAAAAAACTACTAACCGACTGGCATTATTATCTATGAAACAGATGACCCGTTTTCCAACCTCGATCTTCTAAAGTCTAAAACCCAAACACACGAGTTCATTCATAGAATTTTAATACAAAATGACAATGTCGGGGAGAAAAAGCACAATTCGTCAGGGAGAAAAAAAATATATGTATTTTCTACATATTAGTAGACTCTAAAATCGATTAAATAAGCCTTTGAAACCACTAAATCGTCAAAATTTTCGGGGGCTTTATTGTCCCTGGACCATTTTCGAAACCTTTCAATCGAAGCTCGACCACGCCCACCTAGCTTTTGTCCGGGAAATCTGACCCCTCGTCTGGCAAATCGCGCCCCCCCCCCCGTCGGGGGGCTTTGAGGCTTTTGTGGAAGAAGTTGTAGAGTGTACTGTAAAGTTTTAGTCAACAGTGCTTCTAACTATTCTAAAAAATACTACTTTTGCTGACTGTCTACTTACAAAACGGCCGCCTTCGGTGGCCCTTTGCGCTGCTGCGTAAGAATCATAGTTAAATGAATTCTCACATGTGCTGCACTGGTAGTGTGACAACTCCTCGTTCAAAAATTTGTAGATTCGTGTTAAATATATTTAAATGCCTTTAACGGTACGATTAAATATATTTAAATGCCTTTAACGATATATATGTTATTAAAAAATGTATCCGTTTCTGCCGTGACCATTTAGTTGGTTAGTTTAGTTTTTTGTTTTTGTTTTTTTTATAACAGCCATACCGCTCGAACCTGACACCATATTGCTTACAGTGTAGTTGACGGTGATATTATCGAAATTACTCAAAGGAACATTGTCAAGCAGCAAGATACTTTTTAACATTGTTATTAACGTCCTTACTGCTTTAATATAAAGAATAAGCTTTTCAACTATTAAATGAATGTTGATCATTCTTTTTGATACTAATTAGTATGATCCCTTGTGTCTAGGATATAAATAATAATGATGATAATGATAGTCATAGTAATATTGATAGTGACAATGATAGATGATAGTAGCTTTAAGCTTTATCTTTGTGATATCTTATTCACGAACGCATCTCCAAATAGTTTAATATTTTTCAAATAAATAAATAAATGATAATAATAATGACGATAATAATAATGACGATAATAATAATGGCGATAATAATAATAATAATATATAATATAATATAATATAATAATAATTATAATTATCATATTATTATTATTATTATATACTATTTATATGTGTCGTTATTGTTATATATTGTTATTTTTACTATTATTTTTATTATTATCATCTTCATTAATGTTATTATGATCATCATAGTCATTGTTTTTATCATCATAATATTAATGATGAGTAAATACCACCCGCGAAGGTCTAATATTTACTGTGTGAGGCGAGATTGACAGTGTAAACAAAAGCCAGGTAAAATGATGAATAAGCCAATAAAATCGACGTCAAACAGAGCATCTTCACATACTCCTATGTGAATTGTCGATTTATTACATTCTAGATGTAATATACAAAAGATATTTACGAAGTCTACATATTGCATATTAACAAATAAACAACAATTGTCCGTCAAGACAAAAAATAGGGTGCAACAATTGTACGTACGTTTAAGTACTAATTATTGGAATTGAAAACTAAGTATCAATGCATTCTCATCAATTGCCATGGCACCGCGCTTTAATAATCGATAATTCTCTGTGACAGTTCCAAACCATGCTAGGGCCCAATAGTCTAAGCTGTAGTTACCAATTAGAACGGTAAGAGAAATAATGTACTGATTTATTCATTCTTATTTTCGGCTAATGTTAAGAATTTCAACTTGATATAAAGTATATGCATGTTTGAGTGTTCAATAAATAAGTTGAATTCGATTTAATATACCATTATATAAGACTTTCTATATATATATATATATATATATATGTATGTATTTATGTATATATGCATTATCACGTGTATCGAACACCGTACGTTGCTAATATTGCCAACTACATTCAT